TGCCTGGAATAACTAATTGCTACTGTTCACTCAGTGATGATTGGTGATAGGATTGGACAATTGGTGCTTCTGTCCATTCTGGTACTCTTACTTTGCAGATCCTGTAAGGAATAGCCATAGGCATTCTTATGGCTGTCATGGACACATGGGACACACATGTAGCCCACACTTTATACTACAGTGTTGGTTGAGGAAAATATGGGGGAGAAGTAAAAGGGCACACTGGGGTGTCTCTGGAAGGAAGCCTCAGGCATCACAAAGCTCCTCCAGTGTATCTCCAAATAGCTAACCATTGGTTTATAGTAACCATGTTGGAGAAGTGAAAAATTATTTGTCAATATCAAAAGAGTCCTAAGTGGAATTGCTTTGAATCCATGTTCTCCAGAGCAGGGCAAGGACACATCTCCTTCCACAAGAAGCATCATCAGAATGTTGATGTAATGTTTAAAGTCCTTACTGGTTCAAAGCAGTAATTCACATTTGTCTACTGAACACTCTGTTAGAGATATAATATATACTAGGCCTGGTATCACCTTGAAAGTAGGCTTGTTCCTGTTAAAGGCTTTCCACAGAACATTTATTTTGTCTTTTTGAAAATGGGTCCAGCTTTTTTTCTGCCCCTATCTTTTAAAGCAAGGGTGTCCAAACTTTTGACTTGCCTAGGCCACAGAGAGTGAAGAGGAATTGTCTTGGGCCACATAAAAAATATAAATTATAATTAAAGTATATAAAATATTGTTCAAAGTTACACAATAATGTTAAAAGTTTATAATCATGTGGGTCTGCATTACTACCTATCCAGGGTCACCTGCGGCCCATGGGCCCTGGCTTGAACACACCTGTTTTAAAGTCTCTACAGTTTTTTTTTTTTTTTTAATGGTAAAATTTAGGTAGACTTATTCACCGTATATAAAGTTTAGTACTTTGAAAAGTTCTGTGATTTATCATTTTAAAATTATTTTAACATTGCTGTGGGAATTCTGAATTGCATCTCCACTCCAGAACTTGTCATCTGCGATTAGGTTGGCAAGTTTTGTGTTTCTCTGTGTGCATGTTCATGTGTGTATGAAAATTGAATACGGAAAAATAGACAAGCACTCTGGTTAACAATGAAATCTAAACTTACCCTTCTTTATAATATATTATGATTAATGTGATTTATTTAAATCCTATAGAATTAATGAACCTATTCTAGACAGGACTAAATTGTGAATTTCACCCTAGTAGAATAATAAAGATTGAATTTTTGTGATGGCATTTATATCCCTCAATAAATTTGTTCTAGTTGGATTTTTTAAAGCTATGTAGAATTAAATTTGAAAGAATTTCTATGAGGCATAGGCAAAAAAACAGTAAAATGAATGAATGTTGAAAATTTGCCATAAAAAATAAAAGCTCAGATAATTATATAGTAAGGATTGGATATAAGCCAATATAAAAATGCAACATTATAGGGATAAAGATTAAGAGAATCTAGTTAAAATGAAAAGCTACTCCCTGAAAGTGTATTTAGCTGGGGAAAACAAAGTTACGGTATCTAATTCATACATTGCACTAAGCTATGGTCTGTTTAATTATAGTTTATTATATCACCATTGGGTAGGATTGCCAAATATGCTGAACCATCAACTTGGTTTAAAAATTACAATGGGCAGGCTCACATAATAAACTCTGTCAAAACCAATCAGACCACATTATGCCTTGCTGTGATATATGAACCCAGTACATGCATTAAGAACTAAATGCTTATTTAAGAATTATATATTTAACCAAACTCATTTTACCAGTAGAAAAACAGTTCTACCTCCTATGACATTAATTATTGTATATATAAGCTTGTTCGTTTTGTAATTGTTTCTCTAGCAGTAGTCTCAATCTCAAGTCTTCTGTATGTTACAGGAACCAAGATATAGTTTCTAAAAAAAGAGAGTTCATGGATTTTGGGGGGCAATAATTTTACAGTGAAGGCAGATGTTCTCTGATGTCTGTTTGAAAACTTTTTAAAACCATCTTAATAGGGAGTTCTATAGACACAAGCCTGGAGTGGAACAGGCATATTATATCACTAGCTATTTACCTCTTTAATAACTTACAAGCTTTCTGAGATGCAAGAAGAATGCTGGCCAATGGTGCTTTCTTTGTAGGGAATTTCAAGAATGGAGTGGTGGGTTCCCTCCCTTCCGACCATATGCCACTAGCTACAGGAAGGAAAGAATGGCCCTGGCAGACAATACCTAGGAATCAAAAGGCAGAGGCCAAACCTGCACCAGCTGAAAATAGTCAATATATGCCAGGATGACCCCACCTAAGAGTCATTTGAGTGACACCACACCAGCACATCCAATTGCACTCATAGCAAAATGGTGATGTAGTTTTGCCTGCATAGAGGGAAAAACACCAGACTAACTAAGGACCACTTGAAGCAGCTTGAGGTACAGGTTGGGAAGATAATATCATGAGGACATGGCAGAAAAAAAGAGGAGATTTCTGAGCCATGTTTAATCTGGGCTAGATGCGACTGGAGAAAGGCCCCTGGTTTTGCCCATTCTATATAACAGAAATCTTTCTCTAACAGAACAAAACTTGTCCTATTTACTAAAAAAAACCAACAGAAACATTTTAAAAGCACCCTAGCCCTCTCTTATTTTTGTTCCTTAGCAACTGATAGTCAGGCATATTGTCTCTGAACATGAAAGAAGCATGCAGTTTGATTATTTAAAGGTTATGCTTAAAATCAAGAACCAGGGTAAAGAAGATGTTGGATTTCAATGAGAAAAGTCAAGATGAAGTCCAGGTTCAAGTCACTGGATGGCTTTTCGCCAGTCAACTTACCTCCCCAGGGTTGTTGCTGGCAAAATAAGGGGAATTCCACTAAATATGTTGCTGTGAGCTTCCAGACAAAAGGTAATTTATATGCAATACAGTAATATTTAATAAAATATTTTATTGGTTGCTGCAGTTTAGGGGAAAAAGTAATTTCACTATTAATTTAGCTAACTTTAAAGTGTTGTGTTGATGTGTTTGATTTTAAATCTCATGAGAAATAAGCTTATTGTTTCGTATATACTGTACAAAATCTGAATAGATATGTTTGTAGTATGATATATAAGAGATTTAAACATAAATATAGAGAAGTAATTTAATAAAGGATTAAATATCTGGAGTCCGGCAGAAAGAAAAGTTTGTGGAAGTGTGGAATTTAAGATGTTCTCAGGTATCAGAGTCACTGAGAAGTGATGTCTACTGAATTCAGTAGAGAACAGAATTATACTGTTAATTATATCACATGATTCATAAAACAATTGTAAAAATTCCACTCTCATTTGTCAAATTATACAGATTTAGCTGCATAACTGTCGATTCATAGCATCTGATAGCATAGCATATCATATCTGATATGATAAGTCATATTTTTGCACTAGAGATGTGTATTTATGAATCCAATTCCTGCATAAATAGAGAACAGGACTTGCAACTTTTGCAAAGCTGGGTCAGGGCCCAAGAAGATAAAAGTAGATATTGCTTTGAATATTTTTTTTAAAATCATGTTGAAAACTAAATGAAAGATGCAATTTTAACCCAAACCTAATTTCTCAAAAATATAGTGGGAGATATGCAGTGCTTTTTTTCTAAAAAAAAAAAAAAAAAAAAAGGTGCCGGAACTCACACACATCATACAACCCGCCTTGCCTACCCTACAAGATTCTATCCAAAAAAGGTGCCGGAACTCCGTTCTGGGCATTCTATGAGAAAAAAAGCCCTGGAGATATGACATTTGATAATATTAATGATTGTTAAGTAGTAAATAATTGGAGTTTGTCTGTTTGCTGTAATGGTTAAGCACTTGGCTAGAAACTGTGAATTCTAGCCCTGCCTTAGGTACAAAACCAACTAGGGCAGTGGCCCCCAACCTTTTGGGCACCAGAGACTGATTCAATGGAAAACAATTTTTTCCACAGACCAGAGTAATGGTGGTTTCGTGCACTACCTAGATCCTGCACATCTCAGATGAAGCTTAACTTGCTTATGCGGCCCGGTTCCTAATAGGCCACAGTTCAGTACAAGCTCAGGAATCCGTGGCCTAGGGGTTGGGACTCTTGAGATAGGTGACCTTGGACCTACCCTGGCCTTAGGAAAGAGACAATGGCGAATGACTTCTGAAAAACCTTACCAAGAAAACTGCAGGAATTAATCTAGTCAGTTGCCAGGAGTAAAAAAATTGACTTGAAAGTGTGCGTGTGTTTGTACACACACACACAAACACAACACACACAAAATCCCAGCCTGGGCAGTTAAGTCTCCACTGTTACAGTATTATGCCTCTGCTATTCTTTGCCTGAAATAGATAAATTTAGAAGCCATAGAATTAAATAAACATATGCTAGAAATAATTATTTCCGTTTCAACAACGTCTCAAGATTCTCCATTTTTACTCCCAAGTAAGTGAGCGGAGCCGCCTCTAATGTCCTTAGCTGAAAAATGTGAACATCAGTTCATTCTTTCTGCCAAACCTCTGGCAGCGGTTCTGCTGGATTCAATGATTTGGCATTGCAGATGTGACCTCGGTAGGCATTTATGATTACAGTGTTTGTTCGCAAACTTTGTGCGTGTGTGTAACGATGAAAATAGCGGGCGGGGGGTGGGTGGGTCGGCTTTTGATATATATATATATTTTTCTAGCGAGCGCTATTCATCGGCTGTTGACAACGAACCAGAAGTAGCAGGAACAAAAACAAGACGCTGGCCCTTTAAATTTCCGAGGGAGGGCCCAAGGCTCTGTAGGATGACATCAGTGGGTTTGGCCGTGAGATTCAATGGAAACTCAATGAGCGAGCGCTCCGGCTGTACACTGGGAGAGAGAGAGAGAGGCTGAAGGGGAAGGAGGGAGGCGGTTGAGCAGGCAGAGCACGGAGAAAGAGGAAGCGGCGGTAGCAGCGCAGCACTGGCGACGGCGATCAGCCTCCCTTCCCAATCCTCCGTCATCCTCCCCCCCCGGCTTTCCCTCCCCCCTGACAGCCCCCGGAGCAGCAGCGGCAGGAAGGCTCCTTCTAGGCGGGGTAAGTATTGGGGGGCTCCGGGCAAGTTTTGAGGTGCAAATCCGGGGGGAAAGGCGGCCCCACCGCCTCTTTGTGTTTTTTTTTTTTTGTTGTTGAGAGAGGAGGGATTAGGCGGGGGAGGGGAACGGCGCTTACCCACAGCGCTGCGGCCGTCGTCCGGGGGGAGGGAGGTGAGTCCAAGCGACTGGGGAGCGGGGGGGGGAGATGTTTGTTTTGTTTTCGGATTTTTGGGATGAAGACAAAGGATCGTAGGCACCCCCCTCCCGCGCCTGGATTTCGGAATGGGTTCCCCCTTCTCTTTCTCTCGCTGGTCCCTTCTTATAGGTAGAAAGGGACCCGATCCTTTTCTTCTCCGTTGATTTACCGGGGAGGGGGGGGGGTGGTTGAGATCGCCATCGCGATCAATTTGGGGGAAGAGGAAGGGGGACTTATTGTTTTTCTTCCCCATTCTGCTTCCACATCTGGCGATTTCCAAATAAGCAGCACCGAGGCGGGTGTCTCCCCCCACTTTTTCAACCCCATCTGTGCTTTTTATTTAAAGGGGAGAACCAGTTAGTAACCAGCATTGTGTTGCTAAAAGTGCTGCCTTTGGCAAATAGGGTGTGTGTGTGTGTGTGTGTGTGTGCGTGTGGGGTGGGGGGAGATGTTATTGTAAATAGCCGTCTCCTTTTGTGCACAGACAAGGCTGGGTATTGGGGAGGGGGGATAGCAAGGGAGCTTCCGTCTCTCTCCTTCAACATTTCTTCTAAAATATTGCTGCTTAGTAGTGGCTCAGAGCCTTGCCATAAGATTGTACAGTCTAGCAAATATAAGTTTTGTGCTATTTCTCATGGACTGCTGCCCTGTTTCCCCCCCCTCCCCCTTTCAATCATTTTGGCTCTAAACATATAAATATAATACGAACGTTATTTAATTCTAAGTTGTGCCTATAGCTAAGCGAGATGGCCTTATCCATTTTTAAATTTCTCCTTTTAATGTTTGGATTCGTTGTGTGGTTGATCTGTTGCCTTCAGCTCCTTTTTGATAACAGTTCAGAGGGAGTCGGAGAGGAGCAAGGATCTTTGTTCTGGCACATTAAGATTTTTTTTTTAAAAAAAGATGGCATCGTATTTATCATTTCTCCTCCATTATATTTGAAGCTATATAAAACCTGCCTTCCATACGCCTGTCTTCTAACCTAGTAGCATTATTTATATATTAAGTTAGTCCTCATCCAGTTTTGGCAGTAGTAATCTTATTTGTAATTTTTACTCCCAGCAAATCAGGCAAGGCTAATGTGGAGGTACTTTAATTTACAATCATTGTTTGAAAGTGTGGGTGGATTGCTTACCTGTAGATTCAGCACTATAGTGAGATGTGTGGGGCCTATATACATATATGGGAATGAAGAATGTAATTGTTTATGTAATATGATTTATATTTATATAATGCATGAGGTTGTGTGTGCTGGAGGTGGTTTTCTGAGTAACAGAAAAAAGGGGATAGTTGTATATTATAAGCATCTATACATGCAGAGTATATGCTTTGTTAAGCTGATGGGTAGAAAGATGAACCCAGAAGATTGAATTCTTCATCAGATTGGCTGTTTCATTTTGGAAAAAGCAGACATAACTTTTTTTTTTAAAAAAAACCCTCAAATTATATCTGAGATTGGAAACAATCTATTAATGAATGGAATGGGAACAAATTTTTCCAGTTTTGACTGACTGTTCTTAGACTTGCCCATGAACTGTGCTTGCTGCCTTCGTAAGCCCTTTTCCTAAGACTCTGTCTTATTGTTGTTACAATCCAAAGCACTCTTACTAGAAAGTAAGTCTACTATATGGGGAGGTACTCGGGATTCTTTCTGCTTTCTGACGGATGGTAAGAAATGCTCCTTCCTAATTCATTAGTGGTTCTCTCAGCTCCTTCCTAATTCATTAGTGGTTCTCTTAAGATATAAAACTGTTTTTTTAAAAAACAGTTTGGAGGTGATTTGGCTGGAAATGCTCCTCTAAAACTGTATTAGATAACCCACATCTAAATGTTAATACTTTCCCAAGAAGTTGCATGGTCATACTAGCTGAAAAAATGTGGTGGCTGGATGGGCTTCCAATGACCTGAGCCATGATTTCCTGTATGTTATGGGTTGCAGTATGATTAGCCACTGGACTCTGTCTTCTTTACCCCTGGATGATGCTTCCAGTAATAATGGTAGGGAAATCTTGAAAACTTTGGAGAACAGACATTTCCAGCGTAGTTAGGTACTGCTCCTTCCAGTTTTTATGCTAATTGTATGATAGTTTTAAGAGTATAACTTGGATGAATCAAAAATGTATAGATTATGACCAATCNAGATGTTTGTTTTGTTTTCGGATTTTTGGGATGAAGACAAAGGATCGTAGGCACCCCCCTCCCGCGCCTGGATTTCGGAATGGGTTCCCCCTTCTCTTTCTCTCGCTTGTCCCTTCTTATAGGTAGAAAGGGACCCGATCCTTTTCTTCTCCGTTGATTTACCGGGGAGGGGGGGTGGTGGTGGTTGAGATCGCCATCGCGATCAATTTGGGGGAAGAGGAAGGGGGACTTATTGTTTTTCTTCCCCATTCTGCTTCCACATCTGGCGATTTCCAAATAAGCAGCACCGAGGCGGGTGTCTCCCCCCACTTTTCCAACCCCATCTGGGCTTTTTATTTTAAAGGGGAGATCCAGTTAGTAACCAGCATTGTGTTGCTAAAAGTGCTGCCTTTGGCAAATAGGGTGTGTGTGTGTGTGCGTGTGGGGTGGGGGGAGATGTTATTGTAAATAGCCGTCTCCTTTTGTGCACAGACAAGGCTGGGTATTGGGGAGGGGGATAGCAAGGGAGCTTCCGTCTCTCTCCTTCAACATTTCTTCTAAAATATTGCTGCTTAGTAGTGGCTCGGAGCCTTGCCATAAGATTGTACAGTCTAGCAAATATAAGTTTTGTGCTATTTCTCATGGACTGCTGCCCTGTTTTCCCCCCCCCTCCCCCTTTCAATCATTTTGGCACTAAACATATAAATATAATACCAACGTTATTTAATTCTAAGTTGTGCCTATAGCTAAGCGAGATGGCCTTACCAATTTTTAAATTTCTCCTTTTAATGTTTGGGTTCATTGTGTGGTTGATCTGTTGCCTTTAGCTCCTTTTTGATAACAGTTCAGAGGGAGTCGGAGAGGAGCAAGGATCTTTGTTCTGGCACATTAAGATTTTTTTTTTTTTAAAAAAAGATGGCATCGTATTTATCATTTCTCCTCCATTATATTTGAAGCTATATAAAACCTGCCTTCCATGCTCCTGTCTTCTAACCTAGTAGCATTATTTATATATTAAGTTAGTCCTCATCCAGTTTTGGCAGTAGTAATCTTATTTGTAATTTTTACTCCCAGCAAATCAGGCAAGGCTAATGTGGAGGTACTTTAATTTACAATCATTGTTTGAAAGTGTGGGTGGATTGCTTACCTGTAGATTCAGCACTATAGTGAGATGTGTGGGGCCTGTATATATATGGGAATGAAGAATGTAATTGTTTATGTAATATGATTTATATTTATATAATTCATGAGGTTGTGTGTGCTGGAGGTGGTTTTCTGAGTAACAGAAAAAAGGGGATAGTTGTATATTATAAGCATCTATACATGCAGAGTATATGCTTTGTTAAGCTGATGGGTAGAGAGATGAACCCAGAAGATTGAATTCTTCATTAGATTGGCTGTTTCATTTTGGAAAAAGCAGACATAACTTTAAAAAAAAAATCTCAAATTGTATCTGAGATTGGAAGCAATCTATTAATAAATGGAGTGGGAACAATTTTTTCCAGTTTTGACTGACTGTTCTTAGACTTGCCCATGAACTGTGCTTGCTGCCTTCGTAAGCCCTTTTCCTAAGACTCTGTCTTATTGTTGTTACAATCCAAAGCACTCTTACTAGAAAGTAAGTCTACTATATGGGGAGGTACTTGGGATTCTTTCTGACGGATGGTAAGAAATGCTTGTGAACTCTCAGCTCCTTCCTAATTCATTAGTGGTTGTCTTAAGATATAAAACTGTTTTTTTTAAAACAGTTTGGAGGTGATTTGGCTGGAAATGCTCCTCTAAAACTGTATTAGATAACCCACATCTAAATGTTAATACTTTCCCAAGAAGTTGCATGGTCATACTAGCTGAAAAAATGTGGTGGCTGGATGGGCTCCCAATGACCTGAGCCATGATTTCCTGTATGTTATGGGTTGCAATATGATTAGCCACTGGACTCTGTCTTCTTTACCCCTGGATGATGCTTCCAGTAATAATGGTAGGGAAATCTTGAAAACTTTGGAGAACAGACATTTCCAGCGTAGTTAGGTACTGCTCCTTCCAGTTTTTATGCTAATTGTATGATAGTTTTAAGAGTATAACTTGGATGAATCAAAAATGTATAGATTATGACCAATCCATATGGGAAGGAGGAGAAAATGCTTGGTCTTTTTTGATTATTAGGTTTGGATGAGCTTTATCAAACAAAATTACCTCCTTAACATTTGCCCCTTCCAAGCAACTTACTCCACAAGAGCAAAGAATGCATTAATCATCATGCGTTACATAAATTAACCGTATGGCAGCATCCTCTAAAAGGAGCCATGGTCTCTCCTTCCCTCCTTCAGACAGATCCATATTACTTGAACAGGGATAAGGCACAAGATGGTGGCCATCAGGGAATATTGCTGGGGAGTCTCCAGGACTCCATTTGGTACAGGCCTATGCAAAGAGATTGCTCCTGCCATATGCACCAGAGGTGGTAAGGCTCAGATTTGGCTGGAACTCATGTTAACGAGTATACTTGGGAAAAAACCTACTGTCAAATTTTTAGAAGCATATGGATTTATGACCCAAACTAAGTTGTAAATAATGTGGCAAAATGCAGTGAAAGAATTTGACCTGTTTATGAGAAGGAATAGTTGTACAGTAGAAGATGTGTATATTTGGGGAACCAATTTCTATATCTCCCATCCCTTCTTGGTCTCATCTGATGATTGGGAATGACTCTGGAGGACCCGTCACTGTTGCCATATAAGTATACTAGAATGATTTTTCTGAAATGGGCTAGCCTCTTTAATCATTAGGTTCTCTTTTATGAAATTTATGCCAGAAATTATCATGATCATCAATACGTGCGCTTACAGTATAAATCAGTTTCATGAATTTCTGTGAGGTTTGCTTCAATAAAAAAGTAATTGTGGCTGACCGTGGCTTTGGATTTAAGCTTACTTTGGGGACTGGGTTGTACTCTTTCTCTTATTTTTTATCCTTTTTCCACAAGTTGTTGAAGAGATATTAGGCCACTAATTGCTAAACTGAAATTTTAAATGTCTTTAAATGTCTTACAGGTCAGGAAACTGAGTCTACATATCTTGTATCAAAGAGTTTTCTAAGAGTAAGGCACTATATCCAACGATTGAAATACTTTTTATAGAGGCCATGTAAGAATGAACTTGGATCTTTTTCGTATGTACTCTTCTAACTTTACCCTGCCTGTCTTTTGCTTTATTTCCAGTGCATCTGAATCATGGAGCTTCGAGTGGGAAACAAGTATCGGCTGGGACGAAAAATTGGTAGTGGGTCCTTTGGAGACATTTATTTGGGTGAGTTTCTCATTACCCTAGAAATGTTATCACAAGCTAAGGAACTCTGGTATCCTGGAGAATGGAATGTACGCTGCTGCTCTTTCAGAGTTATTTTCTGTTAACATAAATAAGAGCAGAGTAGACCAAAACCCTTGTTCCTGCTGGTTTCCAGCTTGCCATCTGATGCTGATGCAGTTAGATGTTGAATAGTTTGGAGTACACATGCTTTATAATTGTAAAATCATTTTGACTCGTTTGTAGCAACTTGGTAAGAAAACTCCCCTTTATTAATAACCTATATTAAACGTTTTTTCTGGATAGCTAATATTGATCATTTCTTATAAAACATGATCTTAGTCTGGGGCTTATAGTAGGGATTTTTAAAGGGGGATGAGATAGAAAAAAGTTTGGGACATTTGGTCATTCACTAATATTGAATATTCTTGCGTTGACAGTAGGAGCTGTTGATTATACCATCTGGCATATAACCAACAAAGAATAGTAAATTTGGGGATTGGTGGTTGCTACCCCGGTAGCAACTTAGTTGCAGACTGATTTGAGAAATTATTTGTCTCATGTAGTTTTGACTGCTTGCTCAGCATGTTATAGAACCAGAGAAAGGAATCTGGATATTTAGGGCATGCTTACTTCCTGCATTGTTTTGTTTGAAAGGGAGATGGAACAAGAGGCTTTTGTGCTCTTATGGATTTACCTTAAATAACTTATATGAGAGCCTTGACCATCCATTTTAAAAGCATGTGAATCTTTCAATAAAGTCTGACCAATCTTTACTCTGTATGCTGCTGAAGTTAATAAAGTTTTTTAAGTATGGTTCTCTCTGTGTTCGACTATATTTTTTATTAGCATGGCGGTGATGCTTTTCAGAGATTAACTGAGTTATAATTCAAAATACCCGGAGAGTACCAGATTAAAGAAAGCTGCAGACTTACATTGAAAGTGCTACCTATGGAGTGTTCAGTAACACGATGCCTCTTTGCATGTTGTTGGCTTTCCCTCCAGCCACACTGTATCATGTTGCAGTGCTTCCTGGCATTGTTACAAGATTCTTCACCTTTACTGTTTTTTGAAGTTGTTCAGTATGGCAACTTGTGGTTATTTCCTTCTCAACTGACCCATCCTTTTTTTGTACGTAAATCATGTTACATTTTGTTGAGCTAGTTTTATACTCAGTAGAGCTTTTAAAAGGCTGTTACATGACATTTTAGAAACATGATAAACAGTAAAGACAGGCTTTGTTAGTATGTTGCTTTTTGTCTGCACATTAACCTATTGTCAGTTAATTAACCACATTAACTGCACATGACACCTATCTCTTAGACATACCATAGTTTGTTGATTCTGAAAAGGAATACTTCTTTATAAACTTAATGGAAATCAAAGCATCTTTCTCAGTAATCAATATATAACATATTGAGATATTCTGACTAAGCTGGATAGAGGTTTATGTGTGAGGAGCCTGTTAAAACATATACATCTGCTGAACTTTCTTTCTATTTCTTAATTTCTAACTTCTGTTTGTCTAAAAATCTATGTCCAGGTATGTTATCTTCTGTCTCAAAGGCCCCGTTCATTTCTTCTGCCACCAGGCATGCCAGGGTACAATAGTGATCCATTAAATATGTGTCCCTCTCTCTCTGCAGGTTTTGTTTTTGCTAATCTGTTCTTATTTTTGAATGACTCTGTGAAGCATTTTGTGAAAGCACTTTGATTGAAGCCTATGCAGTGGAAATGATGGGTGAGGACTAGGAGTTTCTCTGGGTTTGTCCCATCCCTATGGACTGTGCAGCACTGGCCTACTATAAAAACTGGTCCTGAAGTGGCTTTTATAGCAAACTTTTGCAAGTTTAAAAAACTTTAAAATATTACTAATTGAATTATGAATTGTGTTTTTTTTTTACTGTGAGAATACAGTAAAATCTCAGTTTTTTACTGACCCTTATTCAGCAAACGTCCAACTGGGACCAAATTTTAGTTCAAACTTCATCCTCAAACTGAAACAATCCAGGTAATTAATGTTTAAGTGGTTTGTATCGGTTCAAATCCTTTGCATAATTAATACAATTAAATAATCACAGAGATGATATAACCTGGCACAAATTATGTAAATTGGTTCAATTAAATACATTTGAATTTGCTGGACACTTTCCCCTTCCAATTGGTCTGTAAATTTACTAAATCATATAAGCACTTCAATAAGTACAGTACTATAGACATTAGCAAAGGGGGTATGTTTTTCTTCATTGCCAGGAGGAAATTTCTATGTTTTCAAGCTACTTGTATACAGTATATACACTGCTGATTCCAGTTGATTTCCTCTAAGAGGAAATCATGGTCTTCTGCTCCTAGTTCCATGATTTTCTTTCCAAAGTTCGGGGTGGTGGTGGTTAGTAATGTCATTTAAGTCAGAGTTCCCCAACCTTTCCACCTTAGCAGCCTGGCCCTGGGGCGTAAAGATGGCAGGTGCACGTGCGCACAGCTCCATTGGTGCAAGTGACGGGTGTGAGTCTTCCACTCACATGAGTGGACCTGCAAACATGTGAGCAGATGGCACTTGCGCTCACATGCAAAGCTCCAATTGTATGAGTGGGTCACTTGAGAGTGGGATGCTTGTGCTCATGTGCAAAGCTCTCCTTGCACGAACAGAGGGCTCAGATGCCTTCCACTCAAGTGAGTGGAGCTTCGTGCACAAGGACCCACCACTTGCACAAGTGGAGCTTCACACACATGCACTTGCCTGACACTCATTGGCTTGGTTTCAAACAGGCCATGGCCTGGTAGTGGGCCATGAGCCATGGCCCAGGGTTGGGGACCCCTGATTTAAGTGATGTAACTTAAATGACTTACTGGCCATTTTTTGATAAAAGCTCAGCTTCACTGTGTATGTTAATTAATACATGGCTGTTATTGATGTAAGGTTTGTATCGTACAGGATACAGAACTGCATGGTGACCATTGGGGCAGTAAATGCAATGGTTGTGTTATTGCTTCCACCATGGTTGTATCAGGCATCTGGTGGATGCTGCTTTTTTTAATTTATAGCTAAAGAAAGGTATACTATACTGTGCAGCAATCAAGAGTAGCGCCACATACCCCATTTCAGTGTAAGAAGCTGAGGTTAGACAAAGGTTGAATACCTGTTGCTGATAGTTTTAAATTATTTTATTTACTGCAGTTTTGTATTTCAGTAACCAAAGTGCTATGGGCAACTCAAAATAAAACTCACAAAGCTGTCTACATGATGTGTGATACTCCCATAATTCTCAACAGCGAACATTTTGGATGTGCAGTTCTGTGAGTTGGAGTCTATAGCTGGGGATTGGTAAAGCTGGGAAACTATTTTATGCCCCCACATTATAAGATGTCTCTTTGATAGGAAATGTTATAAATTCCTATTTAAACATAGAGTTTCTTGTTAATATTGGATGAGGAAAATTTATGTGGAAATCTAGATCCTGGCTAGTTTGTGAATTCAAAAGAACATCTCAGAATAAATCAGTGGCAAGCAGTTACCATACCATGCTAAGAAAACTGCAGGGATGTCTCCATATAAGTTAGCAGGGTGAAGACAAATATGCTTTATTTAGGTCTTTATTTTGGTTTATTTTAGATTCAGTCTCAGTTATCCAATTGTATGTTTGAAGAATGTAAAGGATACTGGTTTTCTGAAGAACAGTGAGTTCTGGAAGGCTCCAAACATCAATATTTGCGTAGACAGGTTTGAGTTTTCCAAATTCAGATTCATCCAGTAATTATTTCAGCTTCCTCCTGATCTGATTATGGGATAACTGAAAAAATGTTTTCTTGCTGCAAACTTGCTCTTTGCTATTCTCATTTTGTGTTTCTTTTGTACAAAAAATGTCCTCTCAGACATATTTCATGAAATAAGTACTTAGATGTACCGGAACATAAATGTTCCACTACAAAGTTTTTGAAAGAGGAGTCAAATATTGGTTGATTAGCATCTGCACAATCTGGATTACTTGTATTATTTAGCCTGTGTTCTCAGTATTCCAACCTGGATTTCTGATTCTGATTTATGTGAGTTAACTTGGGTCATACATACCTTTTCCTGGGAAAGAATGCCTGGATGGTTGACTGGTGAGACTGGCCCCCATGGAGCTGGACATCTCCTAAGTGTCTCTTGAATTCTCTGATTCTATTGTTGAATGGCTTTTGTAAACAAATGTCTGGAATGTGGAGGCTTTGCTTTCAGTGGTGAGGTTTGTTTGGTTTTAGGCTCAACTGAGCAGTACTGGTGGGACTAATATGACCGAGGTGGTGGTGGTGGTTGTATAGTTCTCAGAACAAAATCTGATGCAGCATGGGAAAAGCAGTGTTGGATCAAAGGAAGAATTTAATAGGAGTTGTTTAATTCTGCATTAACGTCATCATCATGGAGGCCTAGGTTATTCCTCTACAAGGCTGTTTAAAAAAAGACAGCGAGCAGTGCATGCTGGTGATATCTGCTTGGACAGTTCCTGATTGCTTGTACCTTCTTCAGGCAGAGGATCCATTCCCTTTGTTTGTTGGCCTGTTAATTCTGTCTCTATGCCTGACTTCACCCATCTGTTCTAGTCCTCCCTTTCATTTGCCATTCAGTAACACAAAATGACGGGGGGGGGGGGGGGATGGAGAAGGACAAATGTCATAGCTCTGTTGTGGAACACTAGTAGATGTTTGTGTGACTGCTTACTTGTCTGTGCATCTGCATTTCTGCAATGGTGAGACACATCATTTTTACTTACATTGGTGATATCTTAACATTGTCAACTTCAACATGCACATGGATTTGGTCAGGTATGCATATCTTTGAAACAAACAGGTTCTGGAGAAAGCCCACACAAATGAATGAGGTGGGGTAAATGCTGGATAGGATTTTTTTTTAATCATTTCCAGATCTCTCAGATCACTAATCAAAAATTCAGGAACATTTATTTGCATCTTTTAAACAGGAACGGTTTCTCATGTGTCTCAAGCTACTGCATGGTGTTACGTGT